TCCATAGACATACATACCTGATGCACATCTACATATCTATATCTATCTCCATCTATATATATATAGTGTATCTCTATATCTATATATATATATATAGATATGTAGATATGTACATATATATATATATATGTATATATATATATATAGACAGATATATATATATATATATATAGATATATATATATATATATAGATATATATATATATACATATATATATATATATATATAGATATATAGATATACATAGAGATATAGAGATACATAGATAACCAACGTATATATACACACCTATATTTACAAAGAGATAGACAGAGACATATAGATAAATATGTATGGATCCGTCTCTATGCCTCTGGGTGTGTATATGCCGCCTTACACGCACGCGCCGCAGCCCATCTACCCTGCTTCCACCGAAGACGAGTCTGACGCGTTGGCCATGAGGCAGATCAAGTCTTCCGAGCCCTCGAGCCCTGGCGAGAAGCGCAGCTTCCCCGAACTGGACAAGATGCTGGCTGAGAAGCGCGCCCCCGAGATGACGGACGACGAGATTGTCGCCATGTCGATGCGCGGCAAGATTCCCGGTTATGCCCTCGAGCGCACCCTCAAAGACTTTACCAGGGCCGTCAAGATTCGCCGTTCCATCATCTCCCAGACCAAGGCCACCTCTGACATCACCAACGTCCTCGAGCGCTCCAAGCTCCCCTACGAGCACTACAACTGGGAGCGCGTCTTTGGCGCCTGCTGCGAGAACGTCATCGGATACATGCCTCTTCCCGTCGGTGTTGCCGGCCCTCTTGTTATCGATGGTGTCAGCTACTTCATCCCCATGGCCACCACTGAGGGTGTTCTCGTCGCCAGTACCAGCCGAGGCTGCAAGGCCATCAACTCTGGTGGCGGTGCCGTTACTGTTCTGACTGGTGACGGCATGACCCGTGGACCCTGCGTCAGTTTCGAGACGCTCGAGCGTGCCGGAGCCGCCAAGATCTGGCTCGACTCCGAAGCCGGCCACGGCGTGATGAAGAAGGCTTTCAACTCGACGAGTAACTTTGCCCGCCTGCAGTCCATGAAGACAGCCATTGCCGGGACCAAGCTGTACATCCGCTTCAAGACCACCACTGGTGACGCCATGGGCATGAACATGATTTCAAAGGGTGTCGAGCACGCGCTTGATGTCATGATGAGCGAGGGCTTCGAGGACATGAACATTGTATCCGTCTCCGGTAACTTCTGCATTGACAAGAAGCCTGCCGCCATTAACTGGATTGACGGACGTGGCAAGAGCGTTGTGGCCGAGGCCATTATCCCCGCCGATGTCGTTCGCGACGTTCTCAAGTCTGACGTTGACACGCTGGTTGAACTCAACATCTCAAAGAACCTCATCGGATCTGCCATGGCTGCCTCGGTGGGAGGTTTCAACGCTCACGCCGCCAACATTGTTGCCGCTATTTTCCTCGCCACAGGACAGGACCCCGCGCAGGTTGTCGAGAGCGCCAACTGCATCACCATTATGCAAAAGTACGTCATTACGCTTCCTTGGTTTGAATATCGCTAACGTTGTGCAGCCTCCGCGGCTCTCTCCAAATCTCCGTCTCCATGCCGTCCATTGAAGTCGGCACCCTCGGTGGCGGCACCATCCTCGAGCCCCAGTCCGCCATGCTCGACATGCTCGGCGTTCGCGGACCCCACCCCACCACCCCCGGTGAAAATGCCCGCCGCCTCGCTCGCATCGTTGCCGCAGCCACCCTGGCCGGCGAGCTGTCCCTTTGCAGCGCTCTCGCGGCTGGCCACCTTGTCAAGGCCCACATGCAGCACAACCGCTCCGCGCCACCGACGAGGAGCACGACGCCCGCCCCGGCGAGCGGCACGATGACACCCGTCGGTCTGGCCATGACGAGCGCTGTTGAGAAGGCTGCTTCCTCATCAAAGCTGAGCGCCGCCGCTACGGAACGCGCGCGCCGATAGATGATTTTGTTTCGAATCTTCTTTGTCCACCAGACTCGGCTGATTCGTTCTTTGCCGGGTCTGGTTCAATGCGGGCTGGGCCTTGTCATTCTGACCGGGCTGAGCCTGTACATAATGCATTATTTCCACCCTCATCGTGGGGCGTACGTAAGTGTGGCGCTCCTGCGGCGAGCACTACGCTTCACCCAACACTATATAATATCAGACCACAGCAGAGCGCAGACATGCAAACGCAAAATACATATATCACACTGCAGGAGTTGGAACAGGCAAATGGGCCCGGAGGTAGAAAAATGAGTGGTCGGCAATAGAGAGCGTCGGTTCTGCTATGCATTCGCTACAAGCTCCGTGGCTGGTGGTGAGAGGAGGTCGGAGCGGGAGTGGTAGAGAGACGGGCACTTTTGGTGCGGCTGGCGTAGCTGGCCTAAGTAGGGTGAATGGATTTATTACAGTTCAATGCAGTTGGTGTGGTGCCATGCGGGCTGGGATGGGACTTTGATGGCCGTCAGATGGCATGACACAAGCTGACGTCGCTCAAGCCTTACCAGTGATACTTAGCTGCCGGCCAAAGTCGTTCTCGTTTGAGCTCGATGTCGAATCACGATGAAAGTGAATAGCGGGACTATAGCCCGTAGGCTGTGGCAAAGTTCTGTAAGTGGTCGTTTTCATATCAATAAGCACAAGGGTCAGGTGGTCAAGCAGAAAACATTTATTGTGAAGAGCTAATCATAATCCCATTCAAGGTTCATAGATAGAAGCGAAGCTAGCCGGTTGCCAGTGTTCGAAATTAAGGAGTGGGAGCTTTTGGTAGTGAGGGAGTGTTGATATCCTTTACTGGGTCTTGTTCTCCTCCTCAGGCTTGACGTGGAGGATGCCGGGAATGATGGAGCCGCCGAGGAGACCATTGATGGGGTCCTCCTCACGGGCCTGGACCTTGGACTCTTCGGGCTTAACGCTGAGGATGCCGGGAATGATAGAGCCGCCGAGGAGACCATTAATAGGGTCCTCCTCACGGGCCTGGACCTTGTTCATCTGCTCCTCAGGCTTGACGTGGAGGATGCCGGGAATGATGGAGCCGCCGAGGAGACCATAGCTCCTCC